TAGTTTGTGACCCTCCCAGAAACCGCACTACATAAATAGATATGTCTGTAGTATATATATTTCATGGGAAGCACGAAATATATATATACTGGACTGAGAATTGGGGGTATATATTTTCTCTTAGGAGAAAAAAATTCTTAAAACAACTCTTTAGGAGGTCAGTAATGAGGAATAATAATGAAAAAAATTGAGAAATATTGCCTTAGACCAATCATGGTTCAATCCCTGTATTAGTCTGCTTGGGCTACCATAACAAAATACTATATACTGGGTGGCTTAAGCAACAGAAATTTATTTCCTTATAGTTCTGGAGGCTGGAAATCCAAGATCAAGGTGTCCTCAGGCTTGATTTCTAGTGAGGCCTTTCAGGCCTGTAGATGGCCACCTTCTCACTGCGTCCTCATGTGGCCTCTCCTCTGTGTGTCTATGTGAAGAGAGTGCTCTGATGTCTCTTCCTCTTATAAGGACACTGGTCCTGTTGGATAGCACCCTTATGACCTCCTTTAGACCTCCCATCAGACCATGTCTTCTAATACAGCCACATTGGGGTTTAGGGCTTCAACACAATTCCAAATTCCGTCCATAACACCGCTGAGACTGGAGTTCACTTCCTCTGAAACACATGGATCTGGGAAGGCTGAAGCCAGGAAAAAACCAGGTCCCACCATTAAAGAAGCAGCACAAAGGCTATGGTCTAGAAAGTCACCTGGGACTGCTTCAGGAGATTCTTTTCCCCTGCAGTTGCCAAGGTGGGAGGCTGGGATCTTGGAGTTGCTGGGATGAAGAGAGATAGCTGCCTAAGGAGCTATGAACACCTACATCTACACTTTCTTTGTCTCTGTGTCTAAATCCACTTGAGTGAGGCATCTGCCACTTGTCACTAAACAACAGCTGGTTAAGCAATAAGCAGGAGCTGCCATTGTGTTCTCTTCCATAACACGCAGGCAGAGGTTTGTTGTAGGGAGTCAGAGGTAGCCTAGGCCACCAGCACCAGGACGATGGGCAGGGAAGCACAGAGGACGCCCACTGTGGCTGACTCCTCCGCAGTTGGAAGTGATGATTCCACATATATGCAGGCTAGATCTCAAGACAATGTCAAGGAAAAAAGGTAAGAAGCCATGATATGAATAACATTTATGTAAATTAAAATCATACACACAGACAACAACACTGCACATTTTCTGAGGGCACGTGTTTAAAGACACATGCCGAACACATTAGGAGGGTGTCCACATGAGGGAGGTATGAGAGTAGGGATGAGGTATGAAAGGGACACATAAAATAAGGGAGGGGTCTCACTCTGGTGACGAAAATGTGACTGGAGCTAAGGCATGTGATTAACCTAATTCTCTGCACCTGGCTTCCAATTAGGGAAAAATGAAGTGGACATCCATTTGGGGACCAAGAGGCAGGTCAGTGTGGCTGGAGGGCAATGGGAGGAAGGTAGAGGAAGATGGAATTTGAAATTTGAGACCCTGCATGGCCCGTATCCTGAAGGGCTCTGAGGCTGGCATTTCGTAGACAATGGAGAACTCTGGAAAATTTCAGAGGCAAAGAATCATATGATCTGAGTTAGGCTTTTGGAAAGTCACTCTTTCAGCTGTGAACAGTTGGATTAGGGTAAGGAAGAAGGTGGAGAGATGCTCTTAAAATCGTACCTATTAAGAAAATGACATCTGGCCTTATGTTATAAACTAGCTCTTGGTAGAGAAATGTCAACTGGGGGACTTTGAGTCCCTTGACATTTTCTCTATGCAATTATCTCAAAATCCAAGCAGTGAGTATGCCCAGTAACTTTGGATATTAATGGACACTTAGACGCCCTGTGCAAAGTGCACTGCATGCCTTTTCTTGTCTGATCTGCACAGCACCCCAGAAGGTGGGTGCTGTGATCGTCTCCGTTGCAGAGATGCAGGAAAGGAGACTCAGAGTCCACCCTCTCCACTGAGAGCAGGCTGACACTCAGCCCAACCCCTTCCTATTTATTTTCTGTTTTCTAGTTTAATTTGGGGCATATTTTTTCTATTTAACGTTATTTGCTGGCAACAGAATGCAGTATTCGAAGAGACAAAAATATCCAGAATCTCCCTAATTAAGAACAGGGGACACTCCCTTAGGGAGAAAAGGAAGAAAGAGCTCCAGGCTGGCAGAGCAAGGCTGGGGAGGAGGCTAGGACTGGGAGAGGTAAGATGCTGACAGGGGCTGAGAAAGGCCCCTGGGGTGAAGGAAGAGATTGGTTGCTCTCACCATTCAGGCAGGAGAGTGCTAAACACCTCCCCTGGTTGGACTTCTGATTTCCCCATCTGTAGGCCAAAACAGAAAGTGGATGAGATTTGTTTACTACGCAGCGCCCAGGGTCTGCTCTGTCCACTTAAAACATAGACTCCCAGGCCCCAGCCCAGAGATGCTGGGTCATTCAGACCGGGACAGGGCCTGGGCATCCTTATTTCATTTCAAGTACTCCAGGTGAGCTGGATGTGCTGGCAAGGCTAAGCTGGTGTTCCAGGGTTCTGGAAGCAATGAAAATTGGCTGTCTCCTCTTCCTCCTTTTAAAAATAATTTTATGGCTGGGCATGGTGGTTCATGCCTGTAATCCTAGCACTTTGGGAGGCTGAGGCAGGAGGATTGCTTGAGCTCAGGAGTTCAAGACAGGCCTGGGCAACACGGTGAAACTCCGTCTCTACTAAAATACAAAAAATCAGCCAGGTGTGGCGGTGTGCACCTGTAGTCCAAGCTACTCGGGAGGTTGAGGCAGGAGAATTGCTTGAATCCAGGAGGTAGGAAGTTGCAGTGAGCTGAGATTGCACCACTGCACTCCAGCCTGGGTGACAGAGCAAGACTTCATCTCAAAATAATAATAATAATAACAACAACAACAACAGCCTCCTCCCTCCAAGACCACCACTTTGATTACTTGATTGCAAATGTATTTCCTTGATTCTAAGACACCTCTCCACTCCTCCAACCCTGTAGAGTATAATTTTACCAAAATCAGAACAAGTCTTACAATCCAATGAAGTAGTTTTGTTCTTTCCTCTCAAAAACTGCTATTAGGTTGACAGTGCATTTTATAGTTCATAGCGTCATACAATTAGGAAACAGTATAGCATACTTCCAAGCTGAGAGTTTGGAAAATAGGAAAAAAATCACAAAGAAGACAACAAAAATCACCCATAATTCTACCCCAGAGGGATCTACTTCCAATGTTTTGTAATATTTCTGCTCAGTCTCTTATTTTTATTGTTCCAGGCTTGCTTTTATCATCAATGAGTAATTCTTGAGCGCCTATTATACGCACCTCACTTAACACTGGTTTGAGGCTGGAGAGTTTAGAAGTAAAATAAGAATGCTAACCCCTCTGTGCTAGCACTTTTTTGTTGTTGTTTTTGGTTTTTGAGACAGAGTGTTGCTCTGTCACCCAGGCTGGAATGCAGTGGTGCCATCTCAGCTCACTGCAAGCTCTGCCACCTGGGTTGAAGCAATTCTCATGCCTCAGCCTCCTGAGTAGCCACAGGTATGCACCACCAAGCCCAGTTGATTTTGTATTTTTTGTGGAGGTGGGTTTTTGCATGTTGGCCAGGCTGGTCTTGAACTCCTAGGCTCAAGTGATACGCCTGCCTTAGCCTCCCAAAGTGCTGGGATTACAGGTGTGAGCCACCATGCCCAGCACTTTAGGTACATGATTGCTTCACTTCATTGACCAGCAGAGAAGATGGAGGATTTTATTTCTACTCAACACAGGAGGAAACAGGCTGAGGAGTAAAGGTCTTGTTCGAGCTCTCATGCTTGGTGAATGGCTAAACTGCGATGAGAGTACAGGCAGCTGGACATGATGCTCCGTCTCAGGACAGAGGCCAGTCTGGCTGGAGGCAGGGGGGTTCATGGATCGGGTCAGCTGGGATTGTGGGACAGGGTTGTTTCTCTGTGGATCAGGGGCCTTCTGGAGAACCATACAGAGGCTGTGTTAGCAATAACATGGCTCTGCAGCTAAGACCTATGTTCAAATTCAGAACCTTGTCTTCCAGGTCATTTAACCACTTTGAGTCTCAGTTTCCTCATCTGTAAGATGAAGATGAATAATATCTCCCTCTAAGGGCTGCAGAAAGGATGAAAAGTGACATAGGCAAAGCACATGGTTCAGAAAGAATATTTAATATAGAGAACCTAGAACCACTGGAGTTTAGATCAAGAGTGGTGACAAATACTAGACGTCTTTATGACATGTCACTACAAATATAAATATTCCAAGATGGTGTAGCTATGTTAGCCCAATTCTTTTTGGATATTTTGGTTGAAAATCTAGGAGATATAATGAGGGCTTCTATTAAGAACTGATTCTTTGGGGGAAAGAAAAAAATCAGTTTGGTTCAGTTAAGTAAAAACAAAAACAGCCTTCAAGTTTGAGATCTGGCATAGTAGTCTTTCTTCTCTGGCTTGGGACTTCTCAATCAGTTCAAGTTCAATCCAGAACTCCCCTCTCTTCAATACAAGTGTCTGTGCTTTTAGGAGTAGCCACAAGGTGCTGGGCCGCCTGAGTCTGCCATGCATGGGCCATGGGCTCCTACCTCCCTCCTGATGCTCACAGCCCTAGCACTAGGATTGGGCAGTGGGGACAGACACAACAGTGCTGCCAATCCCTGATGCCCATGCTCAAGACCATGACAGGGGGAAAGACCAAGGTGAAACAGGAGGAAAGGGGTGAGGACTTGTGGAGTATCTCCAAGGGTCAGGCTCTGGAATGGAACTGAAAATGCTGGGGCTGGGTCAGGATGCTCCTCCACCTCCCTGTTCTTTGTCCTGGAGAAAATTTTTAATCTCTCAGTCCCCGTGTTTCTGTCTGCAAAGCAGGTTATTGTGCAGAGGAAACGAGGAGGAGGCAGGGAGGGCTTTGTCCAGTGCCTGCCACACAGTGGGCTCAGCGGATGTTCACTGTTATCAAAGTCTCCTTGCTTTGTCACTGTGACACTGAGAGGTAAGTGCTTGTTTCTGCCATTTTACAGATGATGAAACTCAGGCTCAGAGTGGTGAACTGGCTCTCCCAAGGTGACAGAGCTGGAGTTTGAACTGTGATCCATCTGCTCCAGAATTTGTGTCCTTTCTTGGACTGGACAAAGCAGTTCGTGGAGTTCCAGTTTGTAGGTGATGACACTGGGATTTGCACCTTGATCAGCCCAGCCTGAGGTCTGCAGTTTTTGGGGACGTAAGAGAATCTTCCTTTGCTTTTGGCTTGGGCCACATCAGCCAGGCAGGACCCCAAGGAGTCAAGGCAGTGGAGGTTGTAAGATGGAGGGTTTTCAGTAACTGAGGCTCGTCTGGGGCTAGTTGTTTTCAAACAGCAGAGGGGGCGGGGGGGGGGCGACAGGAAGTATGGTCTCACTCCCAGGCATATGGGAGCCGGCTGTCAGCTAATATGGAAAATAATTAAGACAGTTTAATTTTTTTTATTTTTTATATATACTAATAATGAAGCGGGAGGAATTTGGAGAGGGAATTCCACAAGGAGAGGGGAAAGTATTACAGATGTTGAAATCACGCATGGGGATGGCTCTGGCCATAGTGGTACTGCAGCCCCTGCAGCCAGGGCGGGAGGATCCGGTGACATCTGATTATGGGGCTCTCAGTGGCTTGGAAAACCACCATGGTTTGTCCAGGGGCAAAAGCACTTCTGGCCTGGGGTCAGGGGTAGGCAGAGAAGCAAGGGTTCTTCTCTGGGCGGGTTCTACTCTCCAGGTCCTGGTTGACGCTTACTCACACCAGCAGGAGGGCTGGGGACCAAGGTGAACCTTGCACGTGGTGGCTCACACCTGTAATCCTACCAATTTGGGAGGCTGAGGTGGGTGGATTCCCTGAGCTCAGGAGTTCAAGACCAGCCTGGGCAATATGGTGAAAACCCGTCTCTACTAAAATACAAAAAGTTAGCTGGGCATTGCAGCATGCACCTGTAATCCCAGCTACTCAGGAGGCTGAGACAGGAGAATGCTTGAACCTGGGAGGCAGAGGTTGCAGTAAGCTGAGATTGTGCCATTATACTCCAACCTGGGCAACAGAATGAGACTCCATCTCAAAAAAAAAAAGAGTAAAGAGAATTAGTAACGGGGGCGATCAGAGAGCGGGGCCAGGCAGGCCCTTCTAAGGTAAGACTGGAAGGATAAAGGATGAGGCGTACACAAATCTTCGGAAATAGATCTTAGGTAAGGAAAATGGCAGGTGCAAAGGCCCTGAGGTGGAAGAGAATATGATCCTCATGGGTTTAGGTATTCCCAGCACTGTAAACAGAACCCAGTGCACATTAGGACTCAATGAGTGAAAACAGCCTTCTGAAGCTTCAGACCCAGCTCTCAAAGTCCTCCTAGAGCCTGCGATTCCCCTCACCTCATCCACACCCCCTTCTTACTCTTACTCTTGACACACTGCAGAGGGAGGAATTGTGGCCCATTTCAGGGAGACATGAAGATGGAGGAGATTAGGACAGGCCTGGGAAACCCAGTAGAGGAGCTGAGATTTGATATGGGGGGAAATAGGGAGTCAGCAAAGGTTCTTGAACCAGGGAGTGAATTCCCCAGCTGGGCTTGTTCCATGGCCGATCTTTGGAAGATCACTGAGAGGCCCCAGCTCATGGTCAAGCCTGGCTTGTCAAAGAGGGTTGTCTGGAAATTTCAGGACAGTGGGGAAATGGAACAGATGCTCAGCATAGAAGGTGTCATGGAGGTAGAGTCTGCCTGAGTCAGAGTTCTGAGTACCTAGTGCTGCGTTACCCATGACCCCTGAACACAGTGGTATCAGTCATTCATTGCATTCACATATGTGTGGGGCAGGAATCCAGAAGGGCTCAGTGGGTAGATTTGTCTGTGCTCCATGGTGTCTGGGGCCTCAGTTGGAAGACGATGGCCAGGGGCTGGACTGATTCCCTCACGTGTCTGGCAGTTGATGCTAACTATTGGCTGGGATTCCAGCTGGGTAAATGTCAGCCAGAACATAAATCTCTGGCTTTTCCATGTGGACTGGGCTTCCTTACACCATGGTGGCTGGGTTCCCAGGGTGAGTGTCTTAAGACAAAGAGCCAGGGAGAAGCTGTATTGCCTTTTCTTACCCAGCCTTGGAAGTCACACAACGTCACCTCTGCTGCATTCTATTCATCAAGGCAGTCACAAAGTCCTGCCAGGCTCCAGGGGAGGAGTAATAAACTCTCCCTCTTGATAAAGAGTGTCAGGGTTCACGAGGAGCAGAGGGGAATGGAAATACGGTTGTAGCCATATTAATATAATCTGTTATACTCAGCTACCTGACAGATGGAGAAAGAGAAGCACCTCCCTCCTTCCCAGGGGAATAACTCATCTAGGCTCATACATGGACAGAACCCAGAGGGTCATATGTCTCAACCTGAGGCACAGAATCGGAGCTGGCCCCTCCCATCTTCTGCCCTGGGAGACCAACTCCCCTGCCAGTCCAGGGCTCTGCAAAGACCAACTCTTTCCACACTTGGCTGGTGGCAGCTCCAGCTGTGGTTGAGGGTAGTTGACTCTACTTGCAGCTGTTTCCCCTGCTATAGGGTGGGTAGATGGTCCTTGGGGCCCTCATTCTTCCTCAGCTTCTAGGCTGCTGACCTTCCCCCTACCCCACCATCTCTATCAAGGAGAGTACTAGGACCCAGCCTATTCCCCATCCAGCCTCACACTGGAATGATCTCATAGCCAGGAATGATCTCATAGGCTGAGCCCCAATCAGGGACCTATCTCCAGCTCCATCAGCTATGGCAGGGGAGGGACCAAGTTATCAGATAAGTAGAGTTATTAGATAGGCATGAGTGGGAGGTTCTCAGGGAAGAGAGATTAGAAACTAGACAGATATTCCTGAAGTGTTTGCTAATATATATTGGCTTCTGCTTTAGATTTTGTTTAATGGTTTGTGGGTTATTTGGTTTCCTTCACCTTCCACAAACAACCCATCAGCAAGCCCTTGGAAATATATCCAAATCCACTCTGTTCACTCACTCTTACGTCCCCAGCCTCATCTGGGCCAGGATGACTGCACCGGCTCCTCTCTGGTCCCGTGTCCATTCCTCCTCCTTCCAACTCCTCTCTGCACAGTGGCCAGAGGGATCTTTTCCAAGTATGAACTAGATGGTATTTCTCCCCTGCTAATGGCACCACCTCCCCTGGAGTCCCCTGAAATGCAGATTCCTGACTGAGGCCACTGCCTGCACGTCTCATCTCATTTCCTCCTCTTGTGCCATTTATTCTGGCCACACTGGTATCCTTTCTGTTCCAACATCCCAAGGTCAGTTCTGCCTTCTGTCTTTTGCACATGCTATTTCCCCTGCCTGCAATGCCCTAACCCAGTTCATCACATGTCTTCTGGGTCTCACCTGAAGTTTATTTCTCACTCACAAAATGCATGTGCCAGGGCAATGACTGGCTCTCCTCCATGTGGTGATGCGGGACCCCAGGATCTTCTAATGTTGTGGCTCCTCTATCCTGGAACGTTGTTGTCATTTGAATTCAGCCAGGGGAAAAGTAACGAGAACATGGAGGAAGTTCCCCAATTCTCAAAAGCTAGGTCTGGACATGGCAGTCTTCACTTCTGCTCCCATTCTGTTGGCAAGAGCTGGTCACATGGCCAAACCTGCATGCAAATAGGGCTGGGAAATGTTGACCCTGCCTGGACAGCCACTTGAAGCCACAGGCTTCACCCATATACTGGCAAAAGGGACAATGGATTTGGTGGACAATTCATTACCTTGACCATGGTCACTTTCTCAGAGAGGCCCTCCCCAACCATCTCATCCAAAGAACGTCCCTTCCATCCTTGTACATCTCACAGCCCCACTCAATTTTCTCCATATCGCATTTTATCTACTTATTTGTCTGTCTCTATCACCGTCTAGAAAGTAAGCTTTCTGAGAGCAGAAACCCTGTTTGGCTAGTTAATGTCATATTCCTAGCACCTCGACCAGTGCTTGACCCACAGTGTTATAGATGTTGAATTAATGAAAGGACAGGCATGACTTCCATTTTACTAGTGGGGACACAGAGGAGACCAGTGGCTCCATGAAAAGAAAATGCTTTGCCCACGAGCCTGGCATGGAGCAGGAGCCCCATTCATGCCCATTCCTTTCCCTCCACATTGTTGATGCTGAGGCTGCAGGTTTCAGTGAGAGGCTGGGCTATGATCTGTGAGTCTGACTGGAGTTTGAATCTGGCTCTGTCTTCACTTGTGTGTGTCCCTCCTCTCTCCTGTATGGGCCTCAGTTTCTCAGCCTGCAAGAAGATGGTAGAGCAGGTTGGACCAGGCAAACTTTCACATTCCTTGTGACCTGAGAGTAGACGACCACCCCAGAGAACATCTGTACCTTCTTTTTCCAACAGCTGACCTTTGGGTGAAAGTCCTCCTCCCCTTCTTCCTCCCCTTCTGTGGGCTTAATAAGGCTTAATAAGGGGCCTGGATGGGCCCAGCCCCTCAGTGCCCACCAGATCATACTTCCACCTAAGGGCAGGGTTGGGGAGTGTGGCTAATGACAGGGTCCTAGCGGGGGGTGAGCTGACAGCCTCTGCTGGCCTTGCTGGGCCTCTATTAACAGACCACAGGGGAATGTCTTCCCCGGGCTTGTGATTTTCAATTTTTCCACGGGAAAAGGCAGTTGGGAAGAGAGGGCCAAGAGGCTAGACACGATTGTTAATGCTTCTGTCAGTATTATTCTATTCGCCCTCCATCTAGCCACGCACATACCTTCCACCTGTCCTTTCAGTTGCCCATTCATTTATTCACCCAAGCATCCACCCACCTATCCATACATCCCATTCTTCCACCTATCTACCAGTTTACTCACCCACCTAGTCAGTAAACCATACAGCCAGCAATCCACCCATTCTTCTACCTACTCATACATCCACCCCTCCTGCTCATCCATTCATCCATCCATTCATCCACACTCCCCCATCTATCTGCCCTTCTCACACAGGGTTATCCAAGAGCCATCTGACACCAGCTTTGTGCCTTGGACTAAAACAGACATGGGTGAAGATGTTGCCTGGAAAACAGGACTGTGAAGCTCCTCAGAGCCTGGGCTCCAGTACGAGACAGAGTTTGTTCCAAGCTTTGCATTGCCCACTTCCCGGCTGTGAGAGTGACTTTACCTCTCTGAGCTGTTTCTTCAACTATAAATTGGCAAAGCAATTACTAGCTGCTTACCAAATAGTAGGCCCTTATGGAAAATGTTCATTGCTTACTTCTTCAGAATCCATTCCCCATTCTACCAACTTCTGATGGGGAACATTTTCCTACTCTTTGGTCAGTGTGATCTGGGGCATGCCTCCCAGCCTCAGCCAATCAGGGAGGGTGTTGTGCTCTTTGGTTCGGGGTGGGTGTGTGACCACACTGGTCCAACAGACTCTTCCTATGCACCCTACCTCCATAGACTCTGGGAATAAAGTGGGCCCCGAAGGATGCTGAGCAGAAAAAAATGACGAGAAACCCCACCCCAGCAATATCACTTGAGCCGTAGATCCTGTTGCACCTGTAGTTCCAGCCTGGGCTTTTCAGTCCAGCAAATCCCCTTTTTGTCTGAGCCAGTTTTCCACAACCAAAAAGTCAGCAAATCCAAACTCAGTAAATGTCAGCTGCAGGGCATGGTGCTTCCCTCAGACAAGGGCAGAAAGCTGAGGACGGAGCCTCTTCTTCCTTGGGGACTCATTTGCCTTATGCAGGCTCAGTTCCCTGCATTCAGGGCTCCAATGGGGTTCAAATTCCTGCTTCAGAGACTCTTTGTTCTGATGGTAACTTTAATTAAGGTCTTTGCAAGCCCCTCTGTGAAGAGTTGCTCCATTAAAATTTAGGAACTGTCCCCAGCCTGTTGTTTCTGTTTCCAATTATCCAAACTCCAAGCCCAGATTTCTACCAGATGCCGCCCTTAGAGGGCTAACAAGGAGGCAATATGGGGGCAGAGAGGTTCTACCTGTACTGGATACGTGGCTCCACATTTATCCCATCATACCCCTGCTGAAGGGCATTAAATGCTTCCCTATTGGCCTGGCATTCAAAAAATTGCAGAGTTGCAATTTGAACATTGGCCCCTGCAAATAGAAGGCTGGGGTTAAACTGTGAGGGGGATGGGACGTGACCTAGCAGAGTAAGGGAGAGCTGCACTGGTCAATAAGACTTCCTAGAGGAAGCAGAGCTCGGGCAGCCAGTGAAAGATTTGCAGATGCAGAGGAGAGAGGAAAAAGCCGCCAGGCAGGGGATGCAGCATGGCGCAGGGCATGGAGGGAAAACGGTGACACTGAGAGATGTGCCATAGAAGCTCTAGGTCACCACACCCAGTGGGGTTCCGCTCCTTTCCCTCTTTCTGTCTCACATCACTTCAGTCCTGTAGTCCTTGCAAAGTTGGGCCCATTTCCTCTCACCTGGACATTTGCTGTGGACTCCCTACTGGTCTCCCTGCCCCTTTCTGTAACCTCCAGTCCACCCTCCACCAACAGCCATTTATTCACCCACCCAACCATTCATTCATTCAGCAAATATTCATGGAGGGGCAGGGGCTGTGTCATGCAGGGCCCTGAGCCTGGAGCCCCTCCACCTTGATGACCTTGTTTTCCTTCGCCCAACTCCCTATGCTATCTCAGGAAACCACCCCCTATTCCTGGAGGGCCTCTCTCTTTCACCCTCTCTGTCTTTGTACCTGTGCCCCCACTGCCTAGAAGCGCACCCTGCCCCAATCTTTCCAGCAGCACTCTCCTCATCCACTGGGGCTGAACTCACTGCCTTTGTCTCACCTGCCTTCCTGGGCAGGACATCCCTGTCACCCACCTGTGGGTCACCTCTCATCACAGCACTTACCACCCCTTGTTATCGTTCCAGTTTATGTGTCTTGACTTCCCCACTGAACTATGAACTTTGACTCCAGGGGACTCAGTGCTGAGTGGATTAAAGGAAGGAGTTTCTACAAGGGACCAAGATAAGACCTATAGATCCCACTGCTTGGGTGAGAATCCCAGCTGCAGCACTCTTGCGCCATGGGACTCTGGGCAAGCTCTTCATCCCACTGAGCCTTCATTTCCTCATCTGGAAAGTGGGGATAACAGGGTCTCCCTCTCATGGTTGTCATGAGGATGAAATGAGGGAATCCACACACCACATGTGGTGGGGAGCCCGAGAGGTAGACAGTGCTGCGCCAATGTGAGCCAGTGTGGCATAATCCCTGTTGTCAGATAACAGTGGACAGGTGGAAAGGAGGCTGGGGTCTAGTGCGGATTCCCTCGTCAGATACCCTTCCCAGCTGAGGCGACTGCCAGCTGCTGGGAATGGCCCTCAGCTGTAGGGACTTGCCCTGCCCAAGGCCACATTCGTTCCAGGTGTAGGAACCCACTGTACACCAATCTCCATCTCAGAGTCTTTTCCCAGGAACCAACAGAAGATAACAGGCATGGCAGGAGCTCCAGAGAGAAGATGGTGCAGGAATCCAGGAGGGTGGGAGGTGGAAGAGAAGGCCAGGAGAGGAGGGGTGGGCACTGGCCTGGAAAGATGCCAGCAGTCAAGTGCTAGGTCTCTGGAACATCTTCCAGCCTTTTTTCTGCCCTCACTCTCATGGTCCTCTTGTTCCCTGGTCTTAGATGGTGTGGTTGGAGTTCTGGCTTTGGGGCATTTTCTTGAGCTGAGTCCTGACTGTTCCTGATGCACTGCGAGGCCTTAGACAAGTCCCTTCACCTCTTTGAGCCTCAGTGGTACCATTTGTATAATGGGGTTGGGAAAAATCAACAGAGGTGCTACAGAGCCCTCAGCAGTGGTGCAGGAACCACAATGGTTCCACCATTTACTATCTGGGTGTTCTTGGGTAAACCTTTAACTTCACTGTGCCCTCGTTTCCTTAACTACAAAATGGGGATGATGACCCTTACCTCTCTGACCATGGAGATTAAATAAGATAATTCATATACAATGCCTGATGCAGACAGGCCTTTATTCACTTTACACCATACATGGAGCACCCACTAGGTGTTGATCAGTGTTCTAGGTGCTGGGGACAGAAAGTGAACAGACATAGTCCCTGTCGCCATGAAACAGACATCCTGGGAGCAATAGCTAACTACATGTTAGTGATAACAGTTAACTGAAATTTAGCTGATACTATTAGGTGGAATTTGCATCCACATCTCTTTGATCCCTCAGAGGGATCCCCACTCCTCTTCCCCGGCAACATTCTTCACCTTAACTCTTATCACCCACAACACATGGGTTTGCTTATTTTGCCTATGATGAGTCTCCTCCACTGGAATGTAGGTTCTTCTGAGACTTTACTTTTCTCATCTCTAAATTGGGATAACATCTAGACTGTCAGGACATTTCTATAAGCTAATGTCTTCAAATCAGTGATAGACAAGGGTGGTTATCCCAATACAAGAACACCCAGAACAAGGATGGTTTGTTCTGACCTGAGGAGAGTCAGGGAAGAGCCGTAGGAAGTCGGGTTGTTTGAGCTGAGCCCTAATAGTGAATACAATGCGAATCTTCAGAGAAATTAGTCTGGGGACCCTGCCTTCACAAAGGCCTGGAGGCTTGTGTTCAAGCCCCAACTCATCCAAGATTTCTGCAGCCCATCTCCCTCTCCTCCAATTTGATCAGCGCTGATGGGTGGTGGGCAAACACTTACAACTTAACCACACACCATCCAGCCATGGTTACTGATGTTTCCAACAGCTTGTGTTACTTTGGGTTTCCTGGTGAGAGCCCGAGCATCAGCAGTCAGAGGCCTTTTCTGTTTATTCGTTCATTCATTTACTCATTCATTCACTAATTCATAATGGATTTGTTTACTTGCTTAACAAACACTTCGCAAGGGCCTCCTCCATGCCAGGTGCTGGGCCAGGTGCTGAGTCCCCATGATGGAAGAGTCACACTTCCTGCCCTGGAGGAGCTCATGGTCTCATGGAGAAAAAAGACGAGAACCATCCATGCCAACAAATAAATATAAATACATGGTGATGATTTCCATGAAGAAAGCAAATGAGAGGTTGAGAGATGATGGCAGAGAAATCCTGCTTACTATGGTGTGATCAGGGAAGCCTTCCTGGAGGCAACAGTCAAGTTGAAACTCAGAGGATGCAATGAGAAGGGTAAACCATGAGAAGGGCGAAGAGGAAGATGTTCCAGGCAGAGGGAATAGCATGTGCAAAATCCCTGAGGTAAGAAGGAGTTTAGCATGCTGAAGAAACAGAAAGACGCCAGTGTGGGGAAAGCAGAGCAACTAGGGGAGAAAGGTGAGAGACAGGGCCAGGACACACAGGGCCTGGCGAGCCATGGAGAAGAGGTGGGTTTTTGCTCAGCACACAGTGGGATACCATTGCAAGCTTTCAAGTGGGAAAGTGAGAAGATCTCTTGCATGCCAGTGGGTGGGACCACAGGAGGCACCCAGCTGAGAGATCTGCACACTAGGCCCCTTCCCCACACCTGATCCTTTAAACCCTTCATTTGCACACACCTTGTGATGGAAACAGTACCTCAGAATAGAATCCCTCCATGTGGATAGTTTGAGCTGAAGGAACATTATCCCTTTTATCAGTGACTCTCAAATGTTTTCATCTCAGCTTGGCCAACATGGTGAAACCCCGTCTCTATTAAAAATACAAAAATTAGCCAGGCGTGGTGGCAGGTGCTTGTAATCCTAGCTACTCGAGAGGCTGAGGCAGGAGAATCGCTTGAACCCAGGAGGCAGACATTGCAGTGAGCAGAGATTGTGCCATTGCACTCCACCCTGAATGATAAGAGTGAGACTCTCTATATATAAAAAAAAATTATCGAGGACCCCAAAGAACTTCTGTTTATGTGGATTGTATCCACAGCCAGGACTAGAGTGAGTTAAATGAGGCACTCACCTCAAGTTTAAAATTCATGTGCCAAAAGTATCAGTAATTAGGATCATATTTTCATGCAATATTTTAAAAAATTCACACTGAAAGGTGAAAGAAAAATCAGTAGTATTGGTCTTCTCTGTATTTACAGTTTCAGTATTTTGTTCATCATGAACATTTTTGTTTGCATTAATTTTTTTTGGTGGGGAAGAGGATGGAGTCTTGCTCTGTCACCAGGCTGGAGCGCAATGCTGTGATCTGAGCTCACTGTAACCTCCACCTCCCACGTTCAAATGATTCCCCTGCCTCAGCCTCCCAAGCAGCTGGGACTACAGATGCACGCCATCACACCCTGCTAGTTTTTTGTGTTTTAGTAGAGATAGGTTTCACCACGTTGGCCAGGATAGTCTCAATCTCCTGACCTCATGATCCACCCACCTCGGCTTCCCAAAGTGCTGGCAGATGGTGGCATCACATGTCATATCAACTTTGGACAACCTCACTGAGGGTGAGAAGAACAAATAATGTCTTAGTGTTGTGAAAATAGTTTTGACATTGTGAACACCCTGGAGGGGTCTCAGGAACCCCACGGCTTCCAGACTGTACTTTGAGAACCATTGTTTTTTTTTTGAAACAGGGTCTTGCTCTGTAGCCCAGGCTGGAGTGCAGTGGTGTAAACTCGGCTCACTGCAACCTCTGCCTCCCAGGTTTATGCAGTTCTCCTACCTCAGCCTCCTGAGTAGCTGGGACTACACGCGCAGCTAATTTTTGTATTTTTAGTATTGATGGGGTTTCACCACATTAACTAGCCTGGTCTTGAACTACTGACCTCAAGTGATCCACCCGCCTCGGGATTACAGGTGTGAGCCACCATGCCTGGCCTGAGAACCATTGCTTTTGATAGAACTAAAATCTTCATAGAGTTTCCACCAGTGAGTCTTAGCCCTATACCCCAGGGCTCCACCCATATCTGCCTTCAAAGGGGCAGCAGCTGAGAGGCTGAGCTTTATAATTCATGCTTCTTTCCATCTACTCCAGTCTGAAGGCCTCCCAGAGCATGGGGTTCCCACCCACCTCTCCCCAAACCCCATTTAGTTAATGTTTCTGAAAAACTGAGGCCCCCAAATTCCCAGGTGTGGCCTGAGCAGTATGGAGGCCCCTGTGGACCTGTCACCTCCTCCCCTTTGAGAGACTCCATGTCTGTTTCTGCCTCTGGGCCTATCCATGCCCCCAGCCACCTGTCCCATAGTTCCTGTCCGTCATGCCTCCCAGCGTTGTGATTTGAGTGTGCAAAACCTCTCTGGGCTCCTGAAGAGTAGGCATTTCACCAAGAAATAGCAATGCAGGCAAAGAAAACCTCCAACGTATTAAGCTGACTTCGTTAGGAGGCCAACTTCTGAAAATTCAATTTGTTGGTGGTAGAAACAGGATATTGAGCCTGGCCAGGATGGGCTCTGAGGAGGGCATCTGAGGGGGAAGAAAGGAGGCAGCAACCTACGTGGGTAACGGTAACGTCGGGCACATTCCTCGGCAGCACTAAAATCCGCTGCTAATCACAAACAGACTCCCGCCTGCCCAGGGCCTTTCTTTGTTCCCTACGATTTCTCCCTCCAAACATGACGCTGAATCCACCGGGCTCTGCCTCTCTTGGGCTTCTCTCGTCACTTCTGTAGGCCTCAGTTTCCCTGTGTCCTATATGAGAGGACTGGGCTGGGGTCCATAATCCGAGGCTAATATCCCAGGATCCAAGTCTCTGACTTAAAGTCGCCATGAATCTGGAATTCCAGGATTATAACATGCCCGATTTTCCGACGGCAGAATTTGATGAGTCAATAATGGCAGGTTCTAAAGTGATATGATTTTAAGACTGTGGCTTGAAGATCCTGTCCTTGTTACTTTCTACAAGGATTCTAAAATTTGGAGAGTGTAAGTCTCAACAATTGCGTCTGTGAGGCAGTGCCATGCACCCTAGAGCTGGGCAGTCAGGTGACCCTGGGCAAGTTACACGACCTTCCAGTGTCTCTGTCTTCACATTTGTAAAGTGGGGATCATACTGCTACTATCTCCTGGGGTGGTTGTGACACTTGTAAACAGTGTCTGGAGTAGTAAGCACTCAATAAATGTTTTGTACCTATCATTATTCTAAGATGAACAGTTTCTACTACAGCCTCAGAGTCTGAGATGGACCTCAAAGACCCCTGAGTTGTGAATTTCAAAGACTCCATTGTTGAAAGATTCAGTGGCCTACTAATTCTGTCAGCTGGCTATGAACATATCACGTTTGGGCATCCTTGACCCAGGATCATGGGATTTATCATGGGCAAGCTGAAGAGCCTGGCTGGTCATCCTGAACCTTGCACTCCCAGCTACAAAACCAATGAGCATGACAAGTTTGGGACCCTCAGCTGCTGAGAAGTGCCCTCCTCTTCCTCCAACACTTACCACTAGGGATAACTTGACCTTCTGGCTAAAGGCTCATTGACCTTGACTAGCTCCTGGAATCCCTAAAGGCACAGGGAGACCATCACTCCCCTAGCTTGAAATTCCCTTCCTCCAGAACCTGCTGTGGCTCCCTGCTGTCCTTCATACCAAGTCCTATTTCTGAGTCCTTTTGGAGCCCCTTTATATCTTGTTTACTTCAAGGTAAGTCAAGATAATCTGAAATGGGGAAGGGAGAACTGGGATAGATCCTCTGGAAGTTACTTCTAGGTCCAGGTGCATTTGTTCATTCTTATTCACAACACAGATATTAAATATCTGTCATATGCCAGTCTATCTTCTGTGCTCTGAGGACATACAAATGAATAATACAGACCAGGTCCCTGTTCTTGAGACCTCACAAAAGTCATTTCAGACCCCACTCACTGTAGCACATTATTCTCAGGGGAGCAGAGTACAGGCCATTTCCCAGCTGCAGAACTTTGGACCAATGCTCTGTGCCTCGTTTGTAAAATGGGTCAATCACACAGCCTACCAGCTAGAATTATAGTGAAGATTAAAAGAGATGGTAAGAGCTTGGCGCAGTGCACAGCACATAGTCTACAGTCCATGAAAGCTGCTTCCTGCTATTGTTGTTACTTCATTTCTACCCCCAGCTCCCTTTATAGCACTTAGTGTGGTGGCTAAAAGCCAGGTAGACCTGGGCTCGAGTCCTGGGATAGAAAAGATGAATAATCATCGTGCCTGCTTCCCAGGGCCGGTTGCCTGGCATGTTGGCCATACCCAGCCATGGCTCAGATGGTAACAGAGACACATTCTCACTTTCCTCTGCTTTTTCCCTGAGAACCCAACCCAGCCAACCTCACTACCTGCGTCAGGTCCCACACAATGCACAACCTGAGCAACTTCGTTTCCCCTTTGGGTGCCAGTAAAGGCACCACATACAGCCTGAGTAAACTGTCACTAAGACATGGGCTGAGAGATTTAGGCAGGATACAAAGGTCAATAGAGAGCCAACGCAGGCTCTAGAGAGAGGGAGTGTCCATATAAAGGGTGTCCTCTGTCTTCCAGTGGCTCCTCTATACCCCTTGCATCTCATCCTCACTGCTGCCAGGGGCTTGCTCCTGCCAGTGCTGACCATCAGTCCCTGGCCTGTTTGGGGGTTAGGTTATTTTTTCATTAAGTTTGTAATTATTTTTAAAATGCAAGTCAAATAGCGATGTGCTGAGCTGAGCAGGCAGGAGGTTAAAGCTTTTTCCCTGCCTGCGGCCTGCTTGGCCCCCACGCTGTTCTGGGTAAAGGGGAACATTTTCGGGAAAATAAACAAGGAGGCCTTGATTCTTTGGGGACTTTATGAACTTGACCCCACCCCGACTCCATACCCCACCCCGTTAGCAGGCCTGGTCGCCCTCCCTGTTAATTAAAGGGGAGACTAGTTTCCAGGGCAATTTCAGCTCTGGCCAGGCCTGTGCCCACATCCTTGAGAGGGAGGCCATGGTGATGGGCCGGCTGAGTGGCTGGTGGCCTTGGAGGTAACAATTTGTCTTGAGATGGAATCCACTCCCCTGAATAAAGGGACTTTGTGTTCTCTCCCATTCTCATAGCCCCCTGGCTCCCACGGAGGAATTAGACGAGAAACATCTGTGGTTCCCCAAGAATAGTGACCCCATGGTAGGCAGCTGTTAGGCCACTGCCTGGGCCAGTGGGACTTTCTCATGCATGCTAGGCCTCTATCTGTTCTCAGAGCTTTGCCTTCTCATTAGAAAACATGGATGCAGGCAATCACTGGCTCATTCATTTGTTCACTCAACAATGCTTTATTGAGCATCTAATATCCAATTAGTGAGTAATTACAACGTATACCATGAGAATCAATTAGTGACTAAGGTAGCATGACCAATTGCTTTGGTTTACCTGGGAAATGAGACATTTTTGAGCTAAAACCAGGAAAGTCCT